AGCACTCACACACCCATCATCCAGCACACACACACCCATCATCCATCATCCAGCACTCACATCATCCAGCATCATCCAGCACACACACACCCATCATCCCATCATCCAGCATCATCCAGCACTCACACACCCATCATCCAGCACATCACACACACCCATCATCCAGCACACACACACCCATCATCCAGCACTCACACACCCATCATCCAGCACTCCACACACCCATCATCCAGCACACACACCCATTCATCCAGCACACACACACACACACACACCACATCATCCAGCACTCACACACACACACCATCCAGCACCCCCACACACACATCATCCAGCACTCACACACACACACATCATCCAGCACACACATCATACAGCACTCATACACACATCATCCAGCACTCACACACACATCAACCAGCACTCACACAAACATCATCCAGCACACGCAGTCAGACACATCATCCAGCACACGCAGTCACACACACATCATCCAGCACACGCGCACACACACATCATCCAGCACACGCGCACACACACATCATCCAGCACGCGCGCACACACACATCATGCAGCACTCACACACATGTCATCCAGCGCGCACACACACATCATCCAGCACACGCACACACTGCATTCATTATACACACTCTTCACTTACTACAAACACACTACATTAACTATACACTCACTACAAACATACTACATTCACTATACACACTCTGCATTCATTATACACATTCTGCACTCACTACACACTACATTCACTATACACACTCTGCATTCACTACAAACACACTACATACACTGCATTCATTGTACACACTCTGCACTCACTACAAACACTAAATTCATTAGACACAATTTGCACTTACTACAAACACACTACATTCATTATACACACTCTGCACTCACTACAAACACACTACATTCACTATACACACTCTGCATTCATTATACACACTCTGCACTCACTACAAAAACACTGCATTCGCTATACACACTGCACTCACTACAAACACACTACATTTATTATACACACTGCACTCACTACAAACACATTACATTTATTATACACACTGCACTCACTACAAATACACTACATTCATTATACACACTCTGCACTCACTAAAAACACACTGCATTCATTATACACACTCTGCACTCACTAAAAACACACTGCATTCATTATACACACTCTGCACTCACTACAAATACACTACAATTATTATTCACACTGCACTCACTACAAACACACTACATTTATTATTCATACTTTGCATTCACTACAAACACACTACATTCATTATACACACCCTGCACTGCACTATATGCATAGGAATGTAATTTTTTTTAAAAAAAATTTTAAGGGGGGATGAGGCGGGAATCTTGGGTGAGTTCCCACACTTTTTTCCACAGGACTTGACCCCTGGAGGAGAACATATTAAAGTGTTTCTTTAAAGCATTCAAAAAGGAAAAGTCAAACTAGTATAATCATCAGTAGGGGGATTGACGTAGACTTCCATGCTATCTTTACATACTAACTAGTGAAGGGTCCTGTGTTGCTCAGGTATGTGACATCTGACAGTGCCTTGATTTCACAAAGGAAGTCAAAACGTGTGAGTTTCCGGAGATGTATGATGTGTGTCATTCATGGCTAATTCACTTAAAGAGTCCCATAGGTCATCCATCAAGAAGGGGTTAAAATGCATTAATCTTTTCTTTCATTCTGGGATATCTTTTTTATCTGGTAGTCAAATATACTGGATCGAGAGCTCCAAAAATACTTCATTCATGTGTTTTTCCACAACAGCAAATAAAGACATTGCTGAATGCAAATATGAAAGCTCTTCCCAGAGTAATTCTCCTGCAAACCCTGGCTAATGTACACTCACACATTGAATAAACATCATGTTTCGTGCGGGAATGGTCTGTCTGAGGCATTGTACATCTACGGCTACAATCTGTCCACAACCTAAATAAGACAATATTCTTTTTTTGTACAAAGAATAATTTACTTTGGCTATTTTCTGCTCAACTGCTTGCTTCACTCAAGCTAAAAAAAGAAAACCTTTATTTTATTAACTGAATGAGATGCCTGCTGTGAAAAATATATCAGAGGTAAAGTGGGAAAGAGCATTGTCCCTAGGTGAAGGAAATGTTCTGGCATTATTTTACTTTTTTTTTTCTCCTTCTGTAAAAAGATTCTGAAGTACAGGGCCAGGGCACGGAGTCAGAATCAGCATTTAAATGGAAATATTTGCAGTGCTGTTATACAAAGGGCATAGCGAAGAGACACAGAGGTTCCGTGGGGTTAGGCTAATCTACATTCAGTGACATGAAGTAGGCATTGCTGGTGTGATATACTGTATTCTCCTTCACCCAATGATCGCTCCCATGTTGCTACCTAGATCTGTAATACACAAGAGGGGTTTTAACGTCTCAACAATCCGCACAACTTGAAAAGTCATTTTCACTCTTGTCACATGAGACTGTAATGCTGGGGAGGCATGCCCCACTTGATAATTAGGAATCCATGATGGCTTTTATTTATTTTTCTAACCACAAAACGAGTGGGAGTTGTACTGCACTACAGGATATGTTGCAGCTGTATGCATTACATTAAAAAGAATAAATAAGAATAAACATCTTACAAGCAATACTGGCTTTTAATACATGAAGGTATGATGGGATTTTTTTTAAATTTGGGCCGGGTTCTTGTTTTTTACTTTTTGACATTTAAAATTAGCGTGTAAATCTATTAATATTAATTACTATTTTTTTTTTTTTGCTCATCACTAAAATAAAGGAAAAATGGACTCATGACTATTTCATCCACAGACTCAGCCAATCAAGTCCAACTAAATTTGTACTAGAGCAACACTGCTGGGGAAGGAGGGGCAGCAGGAATATAGTGAGTAAGGGGCCGTGTTATTGGTGTCCACAGGAATCCCCAGTTTGTGTCAAACCAAATAGAGCTAGAAGGTAGCACCTGCTAGTACCATAACCACTACAAAAGTCTGCAGTGGCAATGGTGCTTAGTGTGTTCGAGCCAGCCTTATGATTCATGTAGTGCATATATCCTGACATATCTAATACAGCAGTTTTTTAATCTACCAATGTCTTGTCCCTAGCTTTGTACATTGCAAGTCTCTTCCCACTGCAATTACTGCTCCAGAGATTTTAGTAAAAATGTATCAAGATTTCTTTACCCTAATGTGGAAACACACATAAATCATCCAAAGGATGTTATATATAGATCCCTTTAAAGGGTAAGGCAGGCAAAACAACCTCTATAGCTCATGGCAAGATCTCTCCTGAGTTATTACGATGGAGATATAATAATGTAATAATAACAGGGTTATGTGTTAATGTCCGAATCTCCTCGTACCAAAACAACGGGCCATTCAGACTGTTCAACCGTACATTTTTCACGCTATTCTACAATATCCAGATTGTGGAATTCAGGCTCCAAACAGACGTACACCTGGTCTGGATTCCAGCTGGACTGAACGCCTCCGGACGGATGAAATCCGTACTATTTACCTGCTGGCAGCATTAGCAACCAGTTGGAAAATAGTTAAAAACCCTCTGCAATGCAAAGGTTAATTCGGTGATGGCTTGCCAGCGCTCACTAGCCAGCCGCCACATTAAATAGTATACAAAATAAAACAAATTAATTAATAAAAAGCGGCAAGTAGGGGCAGGTAAGGGCTGTTTAAAACTAGCAACTGAGCAGCCCTGGCTGCCCAAACACTAGTACGGCCCCTGCTGGAACATTTGCTAGATGGGGCCTGTTAAATGAAGGTGGTACATAGTCAATAGGACTTTTGTTTTTGGCCTTTTTTGGAGTTTGAAAAAAAAGAAGATTAAGGAAGAAAGAAGACATCTGATTGTAAGTATACATTTTTTACAGGTGTCAGATTAATTGCCCCCTTACTATTATTAGGGTGAGGGAGATAGGTAGGGTGCTACCTACCCTCCCTATTTGGAGGGTGTACCTAAGGGCTAGGGGACATCTAACCACCTGCAGGAGACTTGAGGACAATTTAGGGGGTGGACTATGGCATGCCCACCACCTCTATTAAAACAATGCCCCCACCTGCTGCTTAATAAAATATACAAGAGTCCTTCTATTAATTCATTCAATCGCTTTAACCCACCCCCCATGGCTGGGAGTTGGGAGTCAAAATGTCTCCCTTGGTTTATTAATTAGAGCCCCTAACCACTGCTCATGGATGGGGCTGGAAGGGGACACTAGGCCCCCCGTTCCCTCATTCTTTTTATAATTCTTTATTTTTGTAGTGCTTGATGAAGCAGAGATAGGTTAGTATACAGTTGAGAGTTTTCAATGTGTTAGCATGTCAAGTCAGGTTAAATGTATACATAAATCAGCACATTTTTATGAAAATAATAGAGTAGAGGAACACAGTGCAAAGAGAAAAAACAAACATCACTGCATTGTTTCAACATATTGTGTGCCTAAAATTAATCCTAGTAGGATTATTAGTGGTAATTAAAGAGGTATAACATTGCTGAACTGAGTGGGTTAACTCCCCTAGGTGGCCCTCAGGTTATTAAAAAAATATATATATATGATGCTAAAGCCTATTGAAATAGTATAGTGTAGTGTAAACCCATAGAGAGAGGCAGTGTGACATGTTGGTCCCCCATCAGTTTCTGTTGAGAAGGTAACAGTGAGTGGCCATAAACCTATTAGCACCCAGTCCGTGAACCCTTCTCTTCCTTCTATTACCATAGGCAGAGGACAGTTCCATAGCAGGAATGGACACAACTGGGCCCTGAATCTATGTGTGAATTGATTATTCCATCTGATGGATAGGATCAGGGTTTTCCAGAGCTCCTCAGGCTCATCATGTAAACCAGCTGTTGGCTACAACAGGCATACCTATGATGCTCCAGGAGCCCCAGTCCTGGTTCTGAGCGGTTTCATTCTCCGTGCTGGCTTCTGTGAAAGAGATGGAGACTTTCTGCCTCACCGCTATTTTGGGGCCTTCATCCTCGCTGGGACTACGGATGTCTGTCGCTTGTTTAGGGATGGCTGTGGAGGTTGAACAGTCATTTGATTGCCTTTGGGCAGATTGATGCATCCTCTTCTCCAGGTTGCACCAGAAGTTTGCAAAGACTCTGTCCAGCCTGACAAGGATATCTGGCTGTTCCTCAATGGTGTTGGGGTGCCGCGTGGGCCATGTTTGATGGGTCACTCGATGTGCCTGTAGTTGCAGTGACGTCACCCACTGTTTCCAGTAAGGCAGAATGCCGCCCAGTAATGGACCAGGATCACACCTGCCAGTCTAATTGGGGGGAATAGGGGGAGGGGTAACGGAGTGCCTACACAGCTGTGATAGCCATTGTACAACTCCGAGCTAGAAGTTTGGCAGCCTCCCCCACCCGGTGTGCTGTAAGCCGCATGATCCAGAGTATGCTGCAAATTAGCTTCTGTCGAGATTCTGCTCACAGTAGTTCCTCACTGCTGGGTTAAGAGAAAGGTAAGACTTTGGATGGGATTTAAATCAGGGTTAATGAAGCTGAACATTGCTTGAATTGCCAAATAAACAGAGGAGCTCATGCAAGACACGTCTCTCCACCATGGCAGTCAGGCCCCACCCCCTACCTCATTCTTTTTAGTTATAGTTCCCACCCACTAACGATGGGAGCATGGGGAATAGCTACGTCACCCCACTTTATGGTCTAAATTACACTATGAGCCCCCTGCACAGTTAGTTTAGTAAACTTGTAGCCCCGCTGTGCTATAATTAGTAATTCATAACAATTCCAATATATCCACACTGAGGCACAAGGGGTGTCACCACCCTATGTCCACAGGCAGGGTATGGTGGGTACCTGTATCAGGTCCCAGCTGTATGTTAATAGAAACTGGTCAGCAATCACTAGCTAGTGGTGATTAGGGGAATGGGGAGGTGTATATCCCCTCTATAGCCTACTACACAGGCTCTTGTTTCTTCCTTTTATTGACTAACTAGTTTATGGAAGGGTTACTATTGAGCAGGAAACCCATGTATTAGGTTTCACTGCTAGGTCTTCAGCTTGCATTAAATCCTGTCAAAATTAAATAAAAAATATCAGCCAAACCTGGTCTATAATTGTTGACTTAGTTTGCCAATAATATAGAATCAAGACCATAGAGAGAGGTACATAGAAAAAAGAGCATCCTTATTCATAAGCAAATAGTAAATATCTAAAAGTATGCTGGTATGGGCCATTTAAAAGCCATAAACATACACAGGTATAATTTTATGTTCAGTTGCTAACTATTCAAAACAGGCTCGCTCAGGAATTATTTATTGTTTTTGTCCTATTCTCATCCCTCTCCACATATGGAAGTTGAAGTGAACAGTTAGTACTCTCTACACAACTTTGACTTTACAAATAAATAAATAAATATATATATATATATATATATATATATTTTATTTTTTTTATTTTTTTTTAAATACAGGTATTAGTCTTATGTGACATGGTATCACATTATTCAGAAGGACAATATTGGGATAGATCAGTGGTAGTCAACCTTTTTATACCTACCGCCCACTAATGCATCTTTTTGGTTGAAAAAGTTTCCTTACCGTCCACCAGTTTTCGCGCAAGTGCAGAATATTTTTTAGAAAGGAGGGTGTTTTAAAAAAAATAAATGTATGTACATTTATTTTTTTATTTCTTCTTAATGCATGTTTATAATGTTTTTAACTTTATAAAGTTTAATGAGAAAACAATAAAGTAAATTGAAATTACATTTATTAGTGATTAATGAGATCCTTCAGGTTGATGCTGCAAGACTAAATATTTGATATCTGGTTCGATTTTCGTAAGGAACAAACGAAGGTCTCCTCTTTCTGTGATATTCAGACGACTTCTCTGTTGGCGCATAATATGATTTCTCATCTGTGCATCAGCTCCTCTCCTCTCCCTCCTCAATTCCCCTCCCCACCTTTTTTTCCCCTTTTATTTTAAAATGTAATATCAATGCCCAGTAGGAAGGCTGAGCTAAGTATCCCACTTACTATAGCCTACTATAACAGACAGGCACACATACATACATACAGACACACACAAGACACATACATACAGACAGACAGGCACACACATACATACAGACACACACACACACACGACACATACATACAAACAGACAGGCACACATACATAAAGACACACACACAGACATGCATACAGACAGGCACACATACATACAGACACACACACAGACATGCATACAGACACACACATACAAAGACATACACATAAGACATACATACAAAGACACATACACACATAGAGACAGACACACATACAAAGACACACAAACAACACATACATACAAAGACAAAACACACATACATATATACAGACAGACATACACACATATATACAGACAGACACACACACACACACAAGACACATACAAAGACACACACATAAGAAACACATACATACACACATACAGACAGACACACACAAGACATACATACAGAGACACATACACAAACAAATACATACAAAATATTTTAGTCACCCTCCTGTTTCCTACCTTTTAGGTGCAGGAGGGTGACTTTCCCTGGGGTCCAGTGGTGGCTCAGGTGGTGGCTCTGACTCCCTGGTCTTCATCCCGTTCGGCTCCCAGTGTAAGCTGGGAGGAGTGACGTTTAGTCACTTCCTCCCAGCGTGTGATGTAATCACAGGGGGCCCGGCCATGCTGTTAAAGCGTCCAGCGCTGACCGAGCCCCCTCACAATCCACATCCATCGGGTAGCCCTGACAGCATGGGCCACCCGATGGACCCCTCCATATGCGGCCCCGGCGGTTTGCCACACGGGCCGGGCCCTACCGCCCACCTGGAATCCTGAAACACCCACTAGTGGGCGGTAGGGACCAGGTTGACGACCCATGGGATAGATAGTCATGGTGTACTGTTGTGTGGCCAAGCTCTAATTAAGAAACTATCGCCGTAGAAACCAGCAGAATATGTTTCAACATTTAAAGCATGACCCTGAATGGGAGCTGATTTGCCTTGATAAATATAGCCCTTCATATTTACATTGTTCTGATACATAGTATATTTGGGGGTAAAGACTGAGATTCAGGTGGATTTACTTTTAACTTCAATACCATCAAGAGTATATGATTTGGGTATTACACAATTCTGTTCCTTTGGAGCCACATTGATGGCCTTTGAGCCAGTGGCGGATCCAGAGCCTGATCTCGGGAGGGGCACTTGTAGATTATTTAAATAAATAATCCAGACACCATAACCACTACAGCTCAGTGTAGTGGTTATGGGGTCTATAGTGCCGGGACCCCCTCCCAAAGTAAGTAGTCAAACCGTTTAAGAACAGTTTGACAACTTACCTGAGGTCTGCTGGGAAATGGGGCAGTAGTAGTGCATAGGAGCAGTAGTGTGTGTGAGTGGTGCAATGTGTAAGGGGTGCAGTGTGTGTGTAAGGGGGACAGTGTGTGAGCGTGTGTGAGAGCGGCAGTGTATGTCAGGGATGCAGTATATGTGTGGGACAGTATGTGTGTGTAACAGTTGCAGTGTGTGTGTGTGTGAGTATTGCAGTGTATGTGTGAATGTGGGCAGTGTGTGTGTATGGGGTGGCAATGTATGGGGGCAGTATGTGTGTATGGGGGCAGTGTGTGTGTTTGAGGGGGCAGTATGGGGGCAGTACGGGTCTCATGGGGGTCAGTGTGTGTGTATGGGGGCAGTATGGGGCAGTGTGTGTGCGTGTGTGTGTGTATGGGGGCAGTGTGGCAGTGTCTGTGTATGGGGGCAGTGTGTGTGTGTATGGGGGACAGTATGGGTGCAGTTTGTGTGTGTGTATGTGTATGGGGGCAGTGTGTGTGTGTATGGGGGCAGTGTGGGTGTATGGGGGGCAGTATGGGTGTATGGGGGGCAGTGTGGGTGTATGGGGGGCAGTATGGGTAGCAGTGTGTGTGTATGGGGGCAGTATGGCTGTATGGGGGGCAGTATGGCTGTATGCAGGGCCGGACTGGGGATACAAAGCAGCCCTGGAAAAAATCTATGCCAGCCCCATAAGTCATTGTGCTATGTAGGGTGTTATATATATATATATATATATATATATATATATATATATATATATATACAATTGAAATAGTTGACTGCACTTTCGGATTTCCTGAAAATGTAACTTTTATTGAAATATTTAAGAGAAGATCAATGTTTCAGTCCCTCTTGTGGACTTTTGTCACGATCCTGATGCAAGTCCACAAGAGGGACTGAAACGTTGATCTCTTAAATATTCCAATAAAAGTAAAATTTTAAGGAAATCCGAGAGTGCAGCCAAGTATTTCAATTGCCTATATACATACTGGATACTGGAGCCCTGGTGATTTTATTTTTTTTATATTTTATTGATACATTTCTTCTTCTAATTCAAAATATTAGTTATTTTAGGGTAATTAAATTATACAGTAGGAGCATACTCACACACAGACAGACAATCTTACTGATGCACACAAATAGGCTCATTGACAGACAATGACACACACAGACAAGGTTACTGGCACACACACAAATTTAGTACAGACAAACTCTGATACACACACACAGCTTACTATAGACAAGCTCGCTGTCACACACACATGCTCACTACAGACAAGCTCACTGATGCGCACACACTCTCCCTACAGACACACACATGCTCCCTACAGAAGAGCTCGCTAACACACAGATTCACTACAGACAAGCTCACTGACACACACATGCTCACTATAGACAAGCTCACTGACACACATATGGTCACTACAGACAAGCTCACGATCACGCTCATGCTTACTACAGAGAAGCTCACTGTACACACATGCTCACCAGAGACAGGCTCCGACACACCCATGCTCCTTACAGACAAGCTCACTAACACACACACATATGATCCCTACAGACAAGCTCACTGACACACATACAAGCTCACTCACTAGCAGGCACACACACACACACACAAACTCACTAGCAGGCACACACACACACACAGAGGCTCCCTCACTAGCAGATGCACGCACACACACACACACAGCGGCAGACAGTCACTGACACCCAGGCAGACAGCCACACACACACACACACACAGGCAGACAGTCACTGATACCCAGGCAGACAGCCACACACACACACACACACACAGGCAGACAGTCACTGACACTGAGGCAGACAGCCACACACATACACAGGCAGACAGCCACACACTCACACACACAGGCAGACAGTCACACACACGCACACACAGGCAGACAGTCACACACACAGGCAGACAGTCACA